TGTCATCATATTATCCCTGAAAACAGTCTTAGAAGAATTAGGGGGCCAAGTCTCTCCTGTCATACTCATTTTCTTCAGTATATCCTGAGAACTCACTGGAATTTTCATATATGAATAATATCATAACACAAATCTATAAGGATTCATATATTGGATTAAGTAATCACATAAGGCTTTTTAAAGATGTGGTCTTCAAGCATGTCTTAGTTACTTTTCTCATTGCTAAGACAAAACACCAACACTCATAGTTAAGGAATGAAAAGTTGATTTAGCTCATGGTTTGCAGAGGTTTCAGTGCATAATCATGTGACTCTAAGGAAAGATGGCATGGTACACAGGCATTAAAGAAGGGAAACAGTTCATGTTGGGCAGAAGATAGCAAAGCAACGAGGGGCAACCACAGCTCTTTGTATCCTTATAACCCTTATATTGTATCCAGGCCACTTAGGGCAGCACTCACATCCTTAATCCCAGTGCCCTTGATCCTAGCATTGCACCATGAATCAGTTCCAACTTCACACATTCTAATGGGCAGCACTCACACCCTTAATCCCAGTGCCCTTGATCCTAGCATTGCACCATGAATCAGTTCCAACTTCACACATTCTAGATCCAGCCACCTCTGAAAAAGCCCCACCTGTGACCACATGAGGCTTTGGGGGGTCATCTAGACACAAGCCTTAACCAAGCAGATATTAAAGGACTAGAAGAATTATGTTTGGACCGTGAGTTGCCAGGATCTTTTTGCCATGTGTGTTCTCATAGAGTAATATTCTGTTCTGCATAGCTGGAGCCAAAAAGGACAAGTGAATAAAGAAAGATAGTTTGGAAAGTCTGATATTAAGTAGTCCAATTATGGAATTCTGATACAGTGAGAGTTATAGGTACAGCATGATTTGTGGTTGTCCTAGGTATCAGACACAGTGAGGCAAAATTGAATACTGTTGATTAATAGTAAAGACTAACACATTGGCTCTGGACTTTCCAGGTTTTTCACTAGTAAAGTACCCTCTTTTGTTTAAGTTAGTTTAACTTGAAATTTTTAGTTCTTATCACTGAAAAAGGATGAGTGATCTTATAGCGATGTTAACAAAAATCATAGATTTAACACCAAATAAAACTTGATAAAACTTTTGACCCACTGTTTAAGAGGTAAATTATAAAATCCCCTTAATCTCTTCATCTTTTCTAATTAAAAAAAGTATGGAGAGATGATTTTGAAAAAGAGTCATTAGTTCCAAGCGGAAGGATGCATAACCTTTTTTTGTTTTCTAAGGAAGAGATATAATTATCGGAGGTGAAAAGTACAATATAGAATTTTTTTTTATTTTTCACTTTAATATTGGCAAACCTCTTGCATACAACTGACTTTAAAAAAAAACCAAGACTATAGAAGTGATTATATAATGGCCCTATTGTGTTCTCTAGCACTAAGTACACTAAAATTAAAAAATTAAAACTTGAAATCATTTAAGCAGTTCTTTAGCTTATAGTGGAGTGTATTTTAAAATATATTTTCACCTGTAGTTCCATTTTCATAGAAAGTATTACATGGTCACAAGTGCAGGTTATATGAAATGTGATTTCAAAGGGCATGGACACTACCCTTCTGACAATTTTGCCTAGGGTAAATCTAAATGAATTCACTAAGTCTTCTCTGGTTCAATAGTTGAGGAAATTTTTCCCAGACTTTGGATATAGCTATGATAGATTAAGTCACTAAATCTCCACCTGAATGTGAAAGTTGAATCTTCCACCGGCATTATCCAACCATGCCCAGAAAAGAGAGTTTCAGGTTAAATTATAAAGTACGAAGAGCTGTGGCAAGGAGGAAATGCAACATGGAAACATAAGAAAACTGTTTGTGGATAGCACCTTCTCTCTACCTTCTGCAATGGAGAAAGCTAGGGTGTAATAACGAATTATTTAAAAATACAAAACACAGCCAGGAGACTTCATCACCATTCCATCAGGGCTCTTGACAGGCTCGCCCTGACTTTCCTCACAGCCTAATGTGGAGGAGGAGAGCGGATGAGCCCCTTTGGTGAGATCATCATGCCACAAATCACTATTATTTGTGATGTGGCAAGCTGTCCTTCACCACCCTGTTAGTGATTTCTCCCAGCTTCACTTCCTCAGACACAATATTATTAGGAATGACATCTTGGCATAGAAAATGCCCGTTCTCTAGTGCTATAATGACATTTCTGAAAAATTCTCTGATATTGTGTTTTGAGTGGCTGGGTCAGTGACTAAAGAATAAAAGAAATGCAAGAAAATATTTTATTACATAAGCGAAATTCATTAACGCTAAAAATCGGAATTGGAATTTGATTAACACCTGGCTTATTGGGAAATGAGAGTAAAAATGTGAAGGAAAGTATATTGTTTCATCCAATTTCTAGCCTTTAGAACAAAAAGGCTATAAACAAACTGTTCTTAATGTTGAAGTAAAACGGCACAATATAATGACTACGTACAATACAGACATTAGGGGCATACCAAGCATCATAACCTCTAAAAAGGCAACTTTATCACTATATATACATGTGTATATATAGAGAGAAATATAATACTTTACTTAATTTAATAATCATCAATAAAATGGCTTATTGAGGAAGTGGTATAATTTTTGGACAGTTTGCTGGTGAACCAGAAGGGATAGCTACAGGTAACCTTAGGCAAGGAAACGTGGCCTTTGCATTTTAAATACTGATACTTTCAGATTGACTTACATGAAACAATGAAGTATTATAGTCAGTGATGAGTCTGTACCAAAAAAAGCCACTAATGCACCCTTTCTCATTTCGCTGGCACTTCTTCGTCCTCTGATAACACTGGATTTAATTATTTAGATTCAATTTGATTAATGTTAAATTTAAACATCTAATGGAATATTATCCATTTAAATAAATCATAATGCTTTACTATTAATGAAGATTCAAAGGTCACATAATAAAATTTAAATATTAATGATGAATGAAGTCTGTGATCTATTGAATTTCTTAATGCAATGACCGTACTTTCTCATTAAACAATACCCAATCTACCTCCTACTGGAAACTCTCCACCTCATCTTTATTCACATTTCTTTCACCGTCAACAATGAAGAACACCTAATAGCATCCAAAGTGACTGTATGCATTTTTATTTTGAGTTGAAAAGACTCATTGTACTTCCTATCTATCTACATTCTCGGAACAATGTACTCATGCCCCAAAGTCATCTAGGTTTTCTCCCATCTTGTCTTCTACGATATTTATAATTTTATATTTTGTATGTGATATCGTCAAATACATTTTGAATTAATTTTGTGAGGAGTGTAACTCTGTGCAAACTTCTTTTTTGCGGTGGGGAGGGGTGGGCAGGATTGAACTCTTGACCTTGTGCTTGCAAGGCAGGCACAGTGCCACTGAGCTTAATCCCTGGCCTGGCCTGCAAACTTCCTTTTTTTGAGGCTTTGTCAAAGAGATCAGTTGAGAAAAACGTATGAGTTTATTTTTGAGCATCCCGTTGAGTTCCCCTGATCTGTTTGTCAGTTCTTCTGCCAAAACGGTACCATCTTGATTACTGTAGCTTTATAGTGAATCTTAAAGCTCAGTAGTAATCATCCAACTTTGTTCTTCTTCAGCCAATTATGGCTATTCTGAGACTTATGCCTCGCCATGTAAGCTTTATAATCACTTTTTCATATCTGTAAAATAATTGGCTGTGGTTTTGAGTTAAGCTGAGTTGAATCAGTAGATCAACTTGGAAAAAATTGCATTTTACAGTATTATTTCTTCCAATCAATGAATGCCACTTATTTATTTGAGTTCAGTCATCAGAGTTTTATAACTTTATGTACGTATGTATATGTTTATGAAATACAATTGTAAATAATGAAAAACTGTTGCTATTCGTATTTTGAAAAAATTGTGCAATCAACTAAGAAAAATTAAAACAAATGTTTAAATTTTATTTACCTTTTGATGTTTTTCCTTTCTTTAGGTAGACCTGAGTTTCTGACCTATAATATTTTTTTTCTCTCTAAATAATTTTTGTTGTTGTCATTTGTTTTGTGGTTTTTGTTGTTGTTGTGTTTTGTTTTTTTGTTTCGTTTTTTGAGACAGGGTCTCACTATATAGTTGAGACTGACCTGGAACTCACTATGTAGCCCAAGCTGGTCTAGAACTCACAGCGATCCTCGTGCCTCAGCCTCCCCAGTGCTGGGATTACAGGTGTCAGCCACCACACCCGGCTTCTAAATAATTTTTTAAAACATTTCCTACAAGAAAGTCTACAGAAAAGAAGTTCTCTCATTTTTTCTTTGTCTAAAAAAGGTCTATGTCTTCACTTTTGAAAGATTTTTACCAAGCTATATAATTTTAGGCTACTGGGTTTTTCACTCAACAATTTGACTGTTGCATTGTAATACTGTTTTCTTCCCTACTCCCTCTCTCTCTCTCTCTCTCTCTCTCTCTCTTTCTTCTTTCTTTCTTTCTAGCTATTTATATAAATTCAGGCACTCAAAAAAAAATAGGGACTCTTTCCCGTATATGAGATCTTCACACTAACTTTCTTTTAGTTCTCGTGTATTTATTAGTACATACTTGCTGTACATGATAAACACATTCGCCATGAGGAATTTGTACTTACGTAGCACATATGCGTTCTTTTCTGTCCCCCTCCCCTCCGCTTTCTCCAGCTTTCTTCTTGTCACCATTTGCAAAAACTCCATTTCCACATTTCCTTCTTGTTTTATTTAAATGCTTTTTCCCTTCCTCCCTCCTCTGCATCTCTTATTCCCCTTCCCATATGAGCAAGTCCTTCCTATTCCCTAATATCCTCCATTTTGCTTCTTATCTGTGCTTCGGGAATCTCACACAAGAGAAATATTGCGATATTTAAGCATATCTGACTGACATTTCAGTGAAGATTGTGGTCTCTGGACACATCTACCCTGCAGCTCCCTTGACTCTCTGCACCCGAGTTTCAACCTCGACTCACTTCAATTCAAAATGGACCCCAACTGCTCTCGCACCACTGATGACTCCTGCACCTGCGCAGGCTCCTGCCCATGCCCAAACTGCAAATGCCTCGCCTGCAAGAAGAATCGCTGCTCCTCCTGCTGCCCTGTGGTCTATGCCAAGTGTGCCCAGGGCTGTGTCTGCAAAGAGACATCAAACAGGCGCAGCTGCTGTGCTGATGTGGAACGACCCTGCTCCCGGGTGTACACAGAGTGATGGCATAAACCTGCATTTTTTCATACATCCCTGTTGTCCCATTTGCCAAGATTCTTTTTATATAAAGTGTGTGAATGGTAAAACTTGGTGACTTTGACAAAAACAAGATTATGGTCTCCAGGCGGTTACCCTTGTGTGACGAGATGTCAGTCTTATAGTGACGATATCTCCCTAAAGATTGTGTTCTCCACAAATTTTCCTCAATTTTATTTGTTTCCTTCCTGGGTAGAACAAGATGGCAAGATTGGGCTGGTGTTGGTTAATTCTTTTCTCATAGGTGAAGACTATAATTAAGTAGAGATGAGCAGTTTTCTTCCTTCAGATCAGTTAGTCTCTGATAATGATCTAAAAGATAGGTTCTGGCTACCTAGTTTCTTCCACCTTATTAAGAAGATCACACACTCTCAGATTTTGAGCACTGGCCTATTTCATGGTGGAGATGGTCTGCAACTTACAATAGTTTTGTTTGACTTATAATTTCTGACATTATGAATACAAACAATATATATTTAGTGGAACCACGCTTTGAATTCTGAATGTTGCTGTTTTCTTGCTCTGGTGATATGCACTGTGATGTTCTCCTGACCCTGAACAGGGGCAGTGGGTCACAGCTCCCAAGGATCCACGTGATCACAAGGGGGAACAGCACCCTACAGGGCACTGGGTTGCTAAGTTATAATGCTCGTTAGGTCAGCTGTGTTAAATGCACTTCCAGCTTAACATATTTTCAGTATAAAATGAATTGGTTGGGACAGGATCCATCGTAAGTTGAACACCTCATTGGAACCATGAGCGTGTTTTCTTTAATATTTACTGTGGGGATTACTCAAGCTCCTGGAGGTAAATGCCATAACACTGTTACCCTCCTGACTAGTCGCCCTATATTGTTTTAACTGACCGAGAGTCTGTACTGAGTCTCCACAGAATCATATTTCAGGTTGCCGTTCCCTAGTGTGGGTTATAGATGCATTTTCTGGTTATGGGTCTCTGTTCAGGTAAGCTATGACTCTATATTTCTCTGTCTCTCCGATCAGATGGGCAGCTGTTTGCCCTGTGTTGTTAACCTCCAACATTTCCCAGCTTCTTCTTCTTCTTCTTCTTCTTCTTCTTCTTCTTCTTCTTCTTCTTCTTCTTCTTCTTCTTCTTCTTCTTCTTCTTCTTC